ATAGTCACTGAGCAATTTCATACTTACACTAGACGGAAAATTTTCTTTTTTCCTGCTCATGGCTTTTACATGAAATAATCTATCCTGGGTTTCAAGTGAATCTTAGCTGCTTGAATAGTAGCTGTGGTGAAGTTGGATGCCTTCCTGGCAATCAGAAGTTTATAGAGTCGTAGCAGACGACAAACCATTCATGAGAATTTTTTGTTGGTGTCTTATTAGGAAAACAGTGCGTATTCAACTTAGTTTCATTTCATTAACTGTTCTAATCAAGGTTTTAAATATCGGATATCGGGGAAATATCGGATGGCCAAAATTCATATCGGATTGCGGATATCGGGGAAATATCGGGGATATGTGGTAAATATCGGAATGCCATAATGAATGTTTGCATACATAGTATAATGCATTAAAATGTAATCTCAACATATATAATAAAATTTAAGCATACAAAATATGAATAATATATATTTAGGATCACTAATCAACCTTCTAAAACAAACAAAAGTGCAAAGCAACGTTGCAACATTCGATCTGCTTTTTTTAGGGCAAAATGTCATTTGATATAATGGGGAAATCTTGATATCTCGCCCAAAAATTCCAAACACGGTATATTATTTTGCAACAAACTATATAAAAAGATATATTGGTCCACATATCGGCTAATATATCGACCATATCGGGGATTTATCACTCAAAATAGCCAAAAAGCGGTAAAGGTTATTTAAAGACCATATCGGTTGCGGCAAGCCCTGTAAAAGGATATATCGGGGGATATATCGGGTCATGTCGGGGATATTTAAAACAATGGTTCTAATGATGGTATTGTATATTGGAGACCTTAACTCATGTATCATTTCTTTGTATGAAGATTTGTATTGTGAGGATGATACTCTATTTGATGAACTTCGAGTTTTACCCCTTGTTTTCTAATGTATTAAAATGAACTCTTGTCAGTTATATTTTGAAAGTTGCTGAATATTACTTCTAGTTTTACAGAAATGTCAGTTATATGACTGCAAACAGTTTTGCTGGATTTTTAATTTGATGGAGTTTAATTTTCCGGTTCACAAGGGCTTAATGGTTCTATTCATAGTTGAATAAATGAGATGCACCAGATTGGGTTTGGAGTTCAACATGGGGGAGAATTCTTTTCATATCTAACTCCATACTGGCTTATGTTGCAGTGTCATCCTGTTCCCAATTGCAATCACTTTCTATATCACCTGGTGGTTCATTTGTTTTGTTGATGGATTCTTTTCTCCCATCTATGCTCAACTGGGATTCAATATATTTGGTAAGCAAACTATTTTGTTTTATTAACTTTTCATATTGTAACTTGCGGCGTTCAGCATTAATTTGCTTCTTCAGCTTGCTTCTTTGTTTACTAATTTTCTCTCCCCTTTCTATGATTTGGCAGATGTTTTCACATACTTTCTTGTTGACTTAAAGAAACCACCATTAGCATGTGGCATTATGAATGCCTTAGGAGTTTATGTAAACACTTCAAAACGACTGCAATGTGTGTGATCTGGTCACCAGTAGCTGTCATGCGACAATGAGAAAGGGGATCAAACTAGGATGCAAAATATACACAAGCACAAACACAGAGCAACTGCTAACTTATCTAAGAGGATGGCCACTAATTATTGAATATTATTCATATATGCATAAAACAATTAGCTACACTATTCTTGAAACGCAGAAGTAGGAAGATGCAAGTCAGTGCTAAAGTACACACCAAAAATGAATAGCGAATTTTGTTCAATCTTAAATAGCTGATAAATCAATGGAACTGGTCTAAATATTTGGCAATAATCATTGGAATCCATAACTGCGCAATATGAAACAAGAATAAAAGATCAACATTTCTGACCTCAGGTGGTGAGAGGCTGCACCTATGGACAAAGCCTCCATCAAATTTTTATTAAAAATCAGCATTAGACTAACTATGAATTTGATTCTCCTAGGTTATGGGCTTTTAATATCACAGACAAAGAGGATATGGGCAGGTAGTGTAAAGAATCTTCTGCCCTATCTCTATGGCTGTTGCAGAGTCGAGGAAGATTTTGGGTTCAGATTTGATTTTGGCTTAGAGGTGGGGAGTTTTTGACAAAGCTTTGAAAGAAGACAGTGCTTGATATGAATTGTTATCAACAGGATTGAGCTGGTGATGGATTTAGATGAGGTTTAGTATTGGGGTCAGAAAAGATTGTCATCCAAAGAGAAATTAGGAGAAGATAGACGGAGGCTAGTTAATGTTGTGGTTTCCAAATACATTTGTTCCACTGTGACTTTGTTCCTGTCGGAGAGAAGAAAGTCATTAGTTTTCTTTTTTTTTTATTTCACAGAAACCCGAAATAACAATATAGGGTTGGAATTCCTAAATCTTGAGAAAGGTCCTGACTGGAAAAAAAGATTCTAAACAGCTTACAAAGCTACAAAATCCATACAATCAAAGAAAAATAGTTGAAGACGTTATCTAATGATACCAGCTAAAACATGCTTACCTATGCTTAGCGTTCTTTTTCATCGCTCTAGAATAAACACGATCTCCCTGTCAAGTTCTTTCTGACTATGTTTGTCTGAGCTGCATCTTCTAACTTAAATATGCATTTCACCTTCATAATGAAGCTCCTCCTTTCAATGAGATTATCTTACCCAGTCACACCATAGTATGATGAGGATATCATAATATGATATAAAAATGAGAATACCTTTCTATGATGCTGTTCTAGCTGTTTCTTTATCGTTTTTTGCTTAATCAGTGCTGATCTTTTGGGTATTGATACTGGTAGAGTTTATGACACTCCCCCTTTTTTCTTTATTATTGATTCTTTGCTATTCAATTATTAAGTTTGGGCTCATTGTTTTTTCTTGGAATATGAGATCCCAAATCCTTACATCAGATATCTGAAAAAACAATTGTGCTTAAGTAGTTTGCTTTGCTTGCCAGGACTTGGTTTTATAACGTCCATAACCTTCATCTTCTTGGTTGGAGTGTTCATGTCCTCATGGCTAGGGGCATCTGTCCTTAGCCTTGGAGAGTGGTTTATTAAGAGGATGCCGTTTGTTCGCCATATTTACAATGCATCCAAGCAGATTAGTGCAGCCATATCACCTAGTAATTTATCCTCATTCTGTTTTCCATTCGCCTTCACCTTTTTTCACTTTTTGAGTTGAGCATATTGCTGAAGTTTTCTATCTGCAGATCAGAACACACAAGCATTCAAGGAAGTTGCAATTATAAGACATCCGCGAATTGGTGAATATGCAATTGGTTTCATCACTTCATCTGTTGTTCTTCAGGTCTTAAAAACATACACCATTAAAGATCTATACTGCATTCCATTTGCATGATTGCCCATTCTTATTATCACCAAGTTATGTTTTTTCCTGTGATCATTGCATCGATATGTATATACCTTATACCTTTTGTAGGTGAAACTGTTGGAGTGTGCTTCAATGCTTTCATGTAGATATACATGCTAGAACTTTTCCCCACTTTATATCCTGTGATCTTGAAGCTAGAAATCTGATTAGTATGGTTCTCAATGGATCATAATCTGAATGGAACTGTAAACAAGTAGGTTTCTTTAGAAGTTGTTTACATCTAGTGGGAATAGTAAAAGACAAGACTCATCTCAGCATATCTGAAGATAAATAAGTTCTTTTCAGAATCTGCATCAAATTGAACTTGATCCAACTTTCAGATTTTTTGGGCTTTTGTGAGTCTTTCCTTAAAAATAATGCATGTATGTTGCCATAGTCACCTGGAATTTGTTCGATTTATTTGTGGTTCACTTCATTTCATGTGAACCTAAGTTCTAAAATCAGTCCCAAGCCACTCCTTTTCACTTCTTCTCAGATAGCATATTAACTGCTCAAAAATGCTAGTTTAGTATATTATCTCTCTTTAAATGACTAATGATTTCGGGAGGCTGAGTAGAGCTCTAACTAAGTCCAGTGAAACTACTTGAGTAATAATAACATTAGCATCATTGATTTGAAATCTTTATTGACTAGGTCATGCGACATAACTGAATTCATTGAGAGAGGTTGGTTGGTGTGTGCATGTCTTGGGGTAGCCAGGTGGGTTGGTTTGATATTCCATACTGAACTACAGTGGTACTTCAGTTTTTAGACTAGTGATGCAGTACAATGGAATTCCACTCGAAGAAGAAGACAAGGAGGTTTGATATTCATATTAAACATTTGAAATCACAATTAGCATTAGATTTTTTAATAATTAATAAGTTTTAAGCATTGTTCAGCTCCACAGTTAAAATTTGGTAAGATTACCTTTGATTTCTTTCTTATTTAAATGTGATGCACACTAGAATTACAAGTAGTTCATAGCACATGTGGAGATTGGTTTTATTTCAGTAGGGAATGTTAGAGTTTAGTTGAATATGTAGCAACATGTGTAAGCCAAGGGATGAAGATCAGATCTGTATCATGATCTGAAGGAAAGGAGGTTTGATATTCATATCAAACGTTTGAAATGACAATTAGCATTAGATTTTTTTACTAGTTAATAAGTTTTAAGCATTGTTCAGCTCCATAGTTGAAATTTGGTAAGGTCGTCTTTGATTTCCTTCGTAGGGAAACAGAGGAAGCAAAGTTCATTCTTCATCTAAGCTTAACCTCTCTTAAATATAGATTATGAGGATATTACAATATAGGTATGAGATAAAATCATAAAATTATATTTAAACACATCTCACGATATCTCAACAATTCATATAATATCTACTAGATCTAAATGTTAATAATATCTAACACTCATCTTCAAGTTGGAGCATATATAGTTATATGGAGCATATATAGTTATATACTATATATGTCCAGCTTGCTACAAATGGAAATAGAATGACTAGTTGCAAGAGCTTTTGTATCTTTGCCCGGAATACTTGAAGATGCCAGCAATCAAAAAAGTGTATCATCGTCAGAAGAAACTCTAGGCAGTTAATAGAATCACTCTAGACATGTAAGCCAGTAGAAACACCCTAGGCGGGTAAGCCAGTAGAAATACTTTAGGCGGGTGCACCAATAGAAACCCTAGGTGGGCATGCCCATAGAAACACGCTAGGTGGCCACGCCTGTAGAATCAACCTAGGCAGGTGCGCTAGTAAAAACCTTAGGCGAGTCGGCCATAGAAATAATAAGGATTCATTGATCAATCGCTTGTTTGGTCGCTCGATCTTGATTTTAGTGCTTTTTTGACGAGAAAGATGACTTCAACAGGAGATGGAGTCATAGAGGAAGCAGTGGTGATCGTCGTAGTCGTTACTATTCACGTGGTGAATAGGAATCTAGCTAGTGCTCACTCACTAAACAGAGGTCTCGATTACTGTTTATGTGATGAACATTAACTCAGGTGAGCAATTCTTTCTTTTAGGGCTTTTTATGATGATTTATGAATTAATGATCTCGAAGTAGTTGTCAAAGCTTAAGATGTCGGAGCCACCGAGGGGAAGCATAGAGGCGGTGAAAACCCCCTTGGCGACCCGAGGTTGAGGAAGAAAAATGAGCTCTCTAGGATCACTATTATAAGTAGCGGTAAATAGTGCTGCAATAGCAGCGCTAATAGCGTTACCGATCCCTTCCCGCTACGCTATTGCCCAATAGTGGTGACATATTGTAAAATATCCGCTTTTCGCTTGCAGAAGCGACTAATAGCACGTCATAACGATAAATAGCGGTTGATTGCACGCAAAATTCACTTTTGACCGCTATTTAAAAGTGGTTTTAGGTTTATTTTTTAAATTTAGACCCGCCTAGCAACCATTGCATCTCACCGCCTCCCGCGATTTCTAGCGTATTCCCGTCGTCTCCCACATCCTCTTTGACTCCTCCAGTCGTCTTCAGTATTATGTAACGGTTACATGTCTATTTCATGTTTAAGGTCTCTTTCAATTATCAAATATGCACTTTTGGATTTTTTAGATTATTCTTTAATTTTTTTTTTGAATATTTATACATATCTAAATTAGATGCTATTTGACTGTGTTTTTTGTCGTTATTTTGTTGCAATAGCCCCCAATAGTTTTAGCGATGCCTCACCGCTACGCGATGTTATCCGCTATCGATAATTTTGTCTAGGATCAAGAAGGCTCTGATACCATGTAGAGAAATAGAGATGTAGAGAAATAGAGAAGGTTCCAATTGTTAGGGTTTTTTTTTGAAAGGCCCAATAGGAGATGGATCTAATCTACTGGACCCAATTGACTCAAAATGACTAATCCTATTTGGGTCATGAGTTCGAGCATATTAATCACCTATCTATCTTACTCTCTATCCGATGAGGGACTAAATCCCACTCCATGCATTTTCCCAAACCAAACCTCATATAACCGAATGGATGCGAAAATACTTTACAAATCTCCACATTCACTCGGAGTCCAATTAGAGCCCAAAACACGGGATTGGCTAATTAAGGGAGCGTTTGGCAACCGTCATGTTTTTGTCGTTTTTGTTTTTTTTTCAACAAAAACAAAGAAACGCATTTGGCAACTGGAGCGTTTTTTTGACTTGTCCCTTTACAAAATCTAAAAATTAAATATTTTTCTCAAAATATCAAAAATGTGTTTTAAGATTTCGTTTTTTCATCTAAGCCGTCGCAGCTCGATCGCCCACCGCTGTCAGGCACCGCCCCACACCCGTCGTCGCTGCTGGCGCACCGCCGCCCCACCGCCGCTACTCGTGCCCGCGGCCACCCGCGGCCACCGTCCCAACACCAGTCATCTGGCCACCGCCCGTCGCATCTCAGGCCACGCCACCCGCCCGCCACGTCACTGGCCGCGCCCGCCGTGGTCGACCGGTCGCTATCGCCACCACGCCACTGTCGCCGCTCCACTCGGCCCGCCAGCCGCCCGCTCGTCAGCCACCCGCCGGTTGCGCAGCGTCGGTCACCCTCCACCCGCCGCTGCACCACACCGCGGTCGCTGCCCGCCGGCCATCCGTCGTCCCGCACGTCGCGCGACACCGGCCACGGCTGCCGCCTCCACGTCGCTGCCCGTCGGCCATTCACCGCCGCCTGTCGGTTCCGTAAACGCTGGCACTCGTCGCTCCCGTCGTGTAGCCACTCGGCGTCGTCGTTCGCATCGCCTCATTCGGTCGGATCATCGGACCCACCGAATCGTCGGCACCGAACGCCCGCGCCACTATCGCTATATAAATGGTCAAACTAGTTTGACCAAAATGGTGTTTTCAAAACACATTTCAAAAGAAACATCATGGCATGATGTTTTTTACAAAAATACAACAAAAAAACACATTATCAAACACACCCTAAGATAGCTTCTCAACTACCTCGTATACGAATATAGTCAAACAGCAACTTGTGACAGCATGTGGACTAGAGGGAGATATAATGTAACGTCACTTGCACTCCACCTTGAGCTATATAATCCATAGAATAGAATTTCGAAGCAACTGGAGTATTTAACAAAAGCCCATCGAACCATGAGCTCTGATACCAAGTAGAGAAATAGAAAAGGCAAAGTTCATTATTCATCCGATCCTAACCTCTCTTAAATAGAGATTAGGAGGATATTACAAAATCGGTATGAAATAAAATCATATATAATCACATCTCATAATATCTCAATAATATTACATATCATCTAATAGATCTAAATACTAATAATATCTAACATCCTTTGTATTACTTACATGTGATGCATACTGGAATTATAATTAGTTCACATCACATATTGAGATTGGTTAATTTGGTTTTACTTAAATAGGGAATGTCAGAGTTTAGTTGAATATGTAGCAATATATGTAAGCCCAAGTGATGAAGATCAAATCTGTGTCATGATTTGAAGGAAAGTAGATGACTGTTTTGTGTGGGTGTTGGCTTGACTTTGTTTCAATACACGGTTTGCCATTGGACTTGGGTTTTGTTATTGGATGGCTTGATGGTAGCAAGAATACAAAAAAGGGGTGGGGGTGGATAGTAGTGCTGGAAAGATGGGCCATAGGTTGGTCTGCTAAAAATTGACATATTAAGCAGGGTTATTGGGCCGATTGATTAGACTTTTGGAGATGATTTGGCTTGGTTTGTTGATAACAATGAGAAATATCAAAGGATGCTTAAGATCTGTTCTTGGTTTAACTACTAATTCTTTTTGTCAATGTCAAGAAAGGGAAGAGATAAAAGCTTCTGCATCAAAATAGAGAGAACTGATAGGGTATTTTTATGGACTTATGGAAATATGTCGATGAATTTGAACAAATAGTTCAGATCCATTTGTGCAGAAGAAATTATTTGGATCTTGGGTGAACGTTGGAAAGATAAATTTGTGGGTAAGCCGGAACCACACACAGGCACATAACATTTTGGGCTTCACACCTGGGCAAATCAGACGCTTGTAGCAATTACATTCTAAAGTTTTCATAGTTTTTTATTTCTCAATTTACTATTTGCTTAAACGATGAAATTTGAAACTCCTTAAAATAGAGTTGGAACCATAATCTCCAATGCAATTTAAAATTCAAACTCAAATTCTATCCTAATACACTTTAAGATTGCAATCTAGATACCTTAATCTAATAGATAAAATCAAACATCTTATATAAAAGTCCTAAATAAAATAAAAATCTAAATTTGAAATCATAACAAGTTATCTTCATCCATCGGTAATATCTGAATTTGTCCTGCCTCACCTTAGTATGAAGGAAATTATATGTTTTAATATCAAAGGGCCTTTGACTCTAAAGGAAAATGCATTAGATGCGAGACGCTTCATTACTGCCTTGCATCATAAGGCGCGTGAAGTGCTGAGGTGTGCACATTTGATAGACATTAACATAAACAACAAAGTGTATGCTAGTAGAACTATAGAACCCTTAATTGTAGCAATATTATGAACACATATGTGAGGACCTAGTTGGTCGTCCAAGCATATGAAAGTTGTAATGCTGGATGAGGAATAGGCTTTATCTCAGCATAAGACAATGAACAATATATGAATGAAGAACCACACATCCAAAGGAACTAGTAAATCTCGTATATCTGTGTTTGATAACCTGGTTCATGTTTAGGTAGTTTTACTAGAAAAATAGATACATTATGAAAGATGATTTGAAATTGGATGAGTTATTATCAGATGAGAAATACGACCATAATATTTATGATCCTACACTTTCATAAATAGGATTCTATTGCTCTCTCGCACATTCTACGGCCTTTTGGTTTTTACAAATTTTGTTAGTGTTAGAATATGAAATTATAACTCTTAACCCTCACAACAACTTTGTAGTCTTGGTGTAGTGGCAGAGTCCAATGACATGGTATTAGAGCAACCCAAGTTTAATCCTATTGACCATCAACTTTTAAGCGGATTTTTAATATAAATTGATTCCGCCACATGAGTCTTAGTTTCGACCCATGAAAAGGGCTCTCAACTTGTTGGTGCATATGTTCGAATATAAAATTATAATCGTCAACCCTCATTACAACAAAGTTTTAGTATTGTGGCATAGTTCAATGACAGGAATAACTTTTTTTCCATGTTGGCATACTATATATGCTTCATGAAACATATGATGGAAATGATTGTAGAAGAAATGATCAGAATTTTGGTGTAGTGACATCATAAATGTTCGAAGTTTTGGTGTAGTGGCAGGGTCCTATGACATTAGAACTCTTTTTGTTGTTGGCATATATAAATGCTTCATGAAGCATGTGATGGAAGTGAGCGCAAAAGATATGAGAATGTGATGGACGTGTGCACATACACTAAGAGATACGATAAGGAACAAGTGCATTTGTAGAAAGTAGAGGTAGACTCCTATGGATGATAAAACAAGAGCGAATGGATTTAGATGGTTTGGTCATGTGCGACTTGAGTCCACTAAATTGCAAAGAAATTATGAAGTTCCATAGGCCCCACTTCTTTGTGTCTGGTAGTACAACAATAGTATAACTCTTGTGTTGCACTTAACAGTGTCTAATTAAAAGACCTGGCTCAGTCGATACGCAATTATATCATTGCCTTGCATATTGGGCTTGTGATAAATTAAAATTATTGATGGGCTTTCCAATGCCTCAACCAATAAGTGTCTCTCTCTCTCTCTCTCTCTCTCTCTCTCTCTCTCCATATATATATTACTATAAACTTAAGTGGATACAAATACTTCACCAATTTTTTTATCCATTAGATTTGCTTTGAGATTTGTGCAAAACATGAAAGATATCTTTGAGATGTGTATTTATTTGCGAAACATGCCAACACAACTCTTAAAGAAAATCTAATGGATAAAAAAAGTTATTGGACAAGTTTTTTTATCCACTTAAGTTTATAGGAGCTTTACTTTATATATATACACACACATAAACACACACATACATATACATATACATATGTACACACGCACATGCGCTCGCGCGCACACATGCACGCTCATGAACGTCTTTATTAATATTTTCATATATATATATTTCTCAACCTTTCATACAGAGTTATTCTGCTGAAGAGGAGCTATGCTGCGTTTATGTTCCAACCAATCATCTGTATATTGGAGATATATTTCTGATCAACTCCAAAGATGTTATTAGACCAAACTTATCGGTCCGAGAAGGAATTGGTAACATTTGCCTTTTCAGTTAACAGTATATAAATTAATAACATAACTTACCTGTTTATTCTAGCTTATTATTGACAATTTTCATCATTTTTCATTCATCATCTTATGTGCAGAAATTGTCGTCTCTGTTGGCATGTCAATGCCACAGGTTCTCTCGACGCAGGACTCAACTACAATGCAAAATAGAACCAGATCAATGAGAAACTAAGACGCCTAGTCTTGAGCTGTAAAAAATGCAATTTAATTTGGGTCTTAGTGTTTTATCGGATATTTGGTTAGTGCGGAGTTTTCTCTTCTCTTTTTGTTTTCATCCAAATTATGTTGGTTTGATGGGTCATACACCCTAAAATTTGGGCTTCTGCTGATGCATATATAACTAATGTAGGCAGAGTAGATCTAACGATCTTTGACTTTGATGTAGATGATCAATTGTGTTGTTTTCTTCTTGTTAATATCAGAAGTACAAGCCATGATTGTGGTTACACGAAATTTAAGTATTCTGGTTCAGTTTTGGAGCCACTTTTGGAAAAGATTTGAAGGCAGATTGACTATCCTAATTGAATGTGCAAAAAGAACTTACAAATCGTGGTTCAATCTGAAATATTATGGATGAGACATTTTGTTACATTTGTATTCTCCAATCTGGAGAATGAGAAACATTTTAGTGGCTTGATTAGTATTTCTCTGGTTCGGACCGCTTGCAATAAATTAGAGTTATTGGCAATGTTGTCATAGGTATCATTTTATAGATTTTCATTGGGAGGAGCGCCTTCCCTAATTTTTCGACCGTGGGAATCCATCTAGGTGATTGAGGACTACCAACCATAACATTTCTCTTATAATCTGTATAAACATTTTCTTGCACTGTGAACGTAGAGAATCCCATTAAATTAGCGGGGCAAAGTTTTAACTGGCCCCGTGTAGTTATTGATTTAGAAAAAGTGATTAAGGAGAATTGTTAACATAGTTAGCTCTTTTAATAATCTGAAGAGTTAAATTGTTAACTTGTGAAGTATGATTTATCAATCTTTTTCTTTCTTGAAATAAGAATAGGGCAACAGGCCTTATTAAAGGTATATTATATCTCTCAAAACTTAGTATATATAGATAATATCTAGAAGAGATTTTGATGTAGACCTAAGGCTGTGCAATTGGTCGGTCGGTTCGGTTTTTGGCCAAACCGAACCGAACTGCCTATCATTCAAAACTGAACCGAACCGATTTAAGTTGGTTCGGTTCGCTTCGGTTCGAGTCGGTTTGTTTGGTTTTTACTTGGGGACAAATGTTATGTGGAAATTTAATTTCACCTCTAATCTGTTGACGAAGAAAGAAGTCTCTTAGACTTCAATTTATTAAAATTCATAAACTATCAAATGCTATTGAATATTAAATATAGAAATCAAAATCTTATTCCTACCAAAGCTTACATAAATTTTTTAAGAGAAAGCCTACATAAAGAATTAAAGTGATCTTAATTTGATAGACAAAGTAAATAAAAATATGTACTAATTTTAATGTTGGGTATAGTTTTTATAAAATTATAAGTCTAATCTAAAGAGAAGTCTGATCCAAAGATGTATCAATCGAGGAGAAAAATCAAGAAAATGTTAGAATCAACATTATGGTTTAAGTTTTTTACCTCTAAATTGGATTGGTCCAAAGTAGAAGAAGCGAATAGATAATAGAGAGGAGTAGAGAACTAGAGACAATGAAAAACTCTAATATGGCGATGACACCATTGTTGGGGTATTTTATCGTTATCAGGTCGCGTGAGAGAAAATGGTATCAAGTTGCAGCGAAGTAACTCTATATAAACTATAATGAGTCGGGTTTAAGCGGATGTAAACAGTAATTAGAATGAGTAATACAATTTGGTCAGTTCGGTCGGTTCGGGTTAAAAAAACTTCAACCCGACCCTAACCGAACTCTAGTAAAAATCGAATCGAACTGTCAAATTTTGGTCGGTTCGGTCGTTTGTTCAGCTTGAATCGAACTATGCTCACCTCTATGTAGACCCCTGAAGGGTAGAGGAGCAGACATTTGTCGTCACTCTACACAACATGGGAGAATCAAAAGAAAGCATTCATAGATATCAGAGTAGCCTATACAAAATAAGTAAAGTATATGAACAATTGGTAGCTAGCTAGCAGATACGTCAACTGGCAAAATAATTTATATCCATCCCACATGACTGATAGAGAAAGTTGCTATGGATTGGCCCCTGCGGTATTGCTATCCTCGCTGGAAGAAAGGAGCTCTGAGATGCCATTCTCTTAGACGATAGCTTTCAACTTCTGCCCCCTTTTGTTTGCTGGAGAGCCTGTCCAGAAAATGAGCAACCATGAAAGTCAACTTACGAGCTTGAGGTTCTTCTCCTCAAAAGATCAAGTTGTTACGAGCTCTCTACATAAACAAGCAGGTAGTGGGGAAGCAAAACCTCCAAAGTAGTCGAGCCTTAGTATCAATAGTAACATCATTGTAGATATTAAAGCATTGACTAATATCTCGAGGCAAAGAAGCAACTCCAATCTTAGGAAGAAAAAAATCTGAAACTTATTTAGCGAAAGAATAGTGTAAGAAGAGGTGGTCTGGATCTCCAATTCACGTTGACATTAGGAACAAGTAGGATCTCCAGTCTACCCTTTGATAAGTAGCATGTCCTTGATATTCAGTTTATGCAGAGATAAGAGCCATTGGAAGAACTTGACTTTGCTAGGTAGAATACTTTTTCCATATAGTCGAATAGAATAGGTTACGAGTGCTTTCATCAGAAGTAAATGAGTATAAAGATTTGATAGGGAAGACTGTTGAATTGTCTAAAAGCCAACACACCTGATCCAACTCCGACGAAGGGCAAATATTAGATGAAGATAGCATATGTTTAGGAGCATTAACTTATAAATGATCTTGCTCTCCTATTGGTCTCATGATGATTGGTCTCTGTAAAACCCTGATAATTTTTAAATGATATATTAATATGAGATTAATTATGATATATGGATATTTAGTATGATAAATATCATTAAATGGTATATGAGTATAATACCATGTGTTTTGAGTATGGACGAGTTCATACATGAGAGAGAAAAGAGTCGAAACATGCACAATGGCCAAACCCTTAAAAAACTAAAAATACCCAGTCCGGTCGACCGCCACGGTCGACCGCGAAACCTGCAGAGTATTTTTGAATCCTGTTTTGAGTTGGTTTCGGATTTCTAAACCTAATTTCGTTTTCCCTGATATATATATGAGTTTTTCACGTTTTTCTCAGTTTTCCTAAGAACCCTAATAGCCACCAAAACCCCCAAAACCTAGTTTGATTTCTTGGAGAGATTGGAGGCTTTCGAACGGGATTTTCTCGGTTTTTGGCTTTTGGAGTGGAGATTTCTTTCAACCTTGCTTCTAAAACGTTTTTCGACAATCTCAGGCGAGTATCATCTCTGCTAATCCTCCTCCCAGTTTTCAAAATGCTTTTAAAGATATTTAAACATGTTTTGTAGAGTCTAAATAACTAGATTATGAATAAAAGACAACTCGTTTGTATTATATGTATAAAGATTAGGTCTTTTCATGCTAAAAAGGTTGAGAACGAATTTTACAGATGTATTTAAGATCTGAAGATGATTTTAAAACGTGATTAATCTAAAGAAAGAAGTTTGATTATTTTACAGATGTATTTAAGATCTGAAGATGATTTTAAAACGTGATTAATCTAAAGAAAGAAGTTTGATTTGTCGTTTTGAGCTTTTATGCATGTTTTAGGGTTTTGAATATAAATATAATGCGTAAAATCATGGTTATATATGTTAATTTTGTTTCCAGATATTTCTATCTGCTGTAACATGTTTGTATGCAAGATTCATGAAGTTTTTACCATGTTTAAATCACAAAAACACGACGTTAACACGACACACACAAAATCCTAAAAAAACTAGATTTTGGGCTTGGATCATAAAAACACGACGTGAACACGACACACACAAAAAATCCTGGAAAAACTGGATTTTGGGCTCAGGGCCCCCCGCCAGTCTGATGTTGGCTTGTGCATGGTTTTGGTTTGATTTATGTTTGTCGAGCGTTTCTCTTGACCTTGTGATGATTAACTATAATGTTAAAACTTGTTAAACACCTGGGATGATGGTGAACTTCAGATGCAGACACACACACCGAGATATATGCACTTATGCTTAGTTTGTGTTGAATTAACACACTTTTGTCACAAGTTAAAATTTATAAATACACATGACTAGTATTTGATCTTTCACGTATCCGGAAATAAGAAGATAAAACCCATTACCACAGAACGATTGAATAAGAGTATTACAATAGTATCGTTATTACATGTATCCGTAATAGGGAGATAATAAATCCTATTACCGCAGAGCGATTGAGTAAGAATATTACAAGAGTATCGCTATAGCACAAGATGATGCACACATAGATATTTGATCAGTTATAAGTTTTACTTCCATGATAGATTACCCGCGAGTAGGATATTTTTTTTGAGATTTTGACACACCCGTTATGGACGGCAATTATATTCGTTTTGGTTTGGTTGACATCCTCTTATATTAGAGTAGGCTACTCGGATGTAATTTGAGATGATGTATTTATTCTTTATGTTGGAGATTTAAGTATGTTTCCTTGACTATTTGTTTTCATAGAGAGCTATATGAATGATTTGATATATGTAAGTACTGACTCTATTTTCTTATATACTCCTACCCCTTCCCCTGGGGAGAGGTAGTGATGATCTCGCTAGCGTTTTGACGCTCGTTGTTTCCCCTCTTTCAGGCAGCGAGTCCGGCGTACGGAGAGTCACAGGATGATGGGACTCCTTAGTTGTCCATTTAGCTATTTATTATACTTTGTAGTTATTGCAGAACTCCACATGTAGTTGATTATTTTCAAACTCTAGATTGATACTTTATTTTAGAGTTGAGAGCTCTTGTGAGACTTTGTTTATTTGACTCATTGTATTTGAGATCCAGTTTACACTCAGAGATATTTCTATTCTATTTCAGTTGGGCTCATTCTTGATATTTCTTATGCTTCTTCTGTGTATATCCAATGTTACCTATTTCTATTTTGCCTGTCTGTACCTTCACCTATTTATTGTTTCCACTAGAGAGATAGTGATTGTGATGGTGAAACATGTCGTAGCATGGTGGTTGGTGCTTGGCAGGTTTGACAATCCGGGTTTTATCTGGGACTGCAGCATTGTGTGAACCCTGGGACGTCACAGTTGGTATCAGAGCTCTAGTTCCAATATCCTTAGGATCATCCATGTGTCATATTGTGGAGTTAGGATAGAGTTTACTAGGGATCATGTATACAGTCCGCAAGGAATCCTTAGTATGAGTGAGGACGTACTATATATGTACGCGAAAAATCTAATTTTTTTTGATCTATTTGCTTTGAATAATAAAGCATGATATGAGATATATGTGATATGATTTACTTATTGGTATATGTTATATCCTTCATGCTTGAGATCCTATTTACTACGTAATAAGCTCTATTTTGGAATTA